AAAATTTTGAAATTACCGAGGATTTACAAATAATAAAGTAAAAATATTAAATAATTTATGTTTTCGAATTTTGCTCGCGGAGAGGATCTTTAAAACAAGATTTTTAGAAGAGAGGACCTTTAAAATATAAACAGGCAAAAACGTTGGAAAAATTAAAGCGCGCGTTTAAACAGATAAACGCAATGAAATAAATACGCAATTGTTTTTACTTATCGCTGTAAGCTCACAAGCTTCTGACGTGCTATACACTTTTATATAATATATACAAAGTGTCCGGTAACTAACGGACCAATGATTAAGGGCGGATTCTCTGGCCAATTTGGAGACGATTTTTCCTTAGCAAAAATGTTGAGAAGTCAATAATTTTCGAGTTATAAGCGATTAAAAAAAATAGGTTTTTTGAAAACTAAACGTTTTGGAGTTAAAAGTCTAACATAATTACATTCTTCAGTTAATTTCAGGTAGAGTTTACTATAATAAAATTTTAATTTAAGGCTTAGTTATAAAGATACATAATGACAAAGATTGGAAAGTTGTAAAAAATGATGACCTTTTTCGACATTTTCGCTGAGGAAAAATCGTTCCCAAATTGACCAAAGAATCCATTTGTAATCATTGGTCTGTTAGTTACCGGACACCCTGTATATTGGACACGAGTTTCGTTTGTTTCAGATTCTCGAGAGTTGAAGTAGGAACATACGAGTATCATATATCGTTTGTGACTTGCCGAATGAAAGCAAGACAGAGAGCGAACGAGATGATGAGCTTAATAGCTCATAATGTTATAAATAAATAAATAAAAAATTATAACCTGACCTACTAGTTATTGAATCTTTTTTTAATAAAATGTTTCATTATTATTATCATCTAAGTCTAAGTCGTTTAATTACTTTTTAGTTTTTTAATAATTAATTTAATTTATTCTAGTCATTTTTATATGAGAAAAATAATATCACGTATACGTTTTATAATGAATTAATATATTTCGGGAATCGAATTATATATTCTTAATAATATAAAAGTGTTCAAAAATTATATTTGACTTTTAATTTTAATTATTTTATAGCAAAGAGTTCCGAAATCTCTTACACACATAATGGGGATTTTTTTCATCCATATAATTCGCAATTAAGTATATATGTTAATTATTAATTTTAATAAAATAAAAATTAAAATTAAAGGTCAAATATAATTTTTAAACACAAATATATTAAATTAATTATAAAACGTATACCCATGATAGTATTTTTCTCGTACAAAAATAATTAGAGTAAATTAAATTAATCATAAAAGATTAAAAATTAATTAAAGAATTTAAACTTATATTTTATATAATAATAATAAAACATTTTATTACGTCAAACCGTCGTGAAATAATTAAATAAAATTTGCTAGTTACGTCAAAGTCAAGTTTTCTAAGCTTATAAAACATTTTATTAAAAAACAGATTCAATAAATATAAGTACATGTTATATATATACTTATATTTATTGAATCTGTTTTTTTTATAAAATGTTTTATTATTATCATATATAATATAAATTATTTAATTATTTTTTAATTTTTTTATGAGTAATTTAATTTGTTCTAGTTATTTTTGTACGAGAAAAATACTATCACGGGTATACGTTTTATAACGAATTAAATATATTTATAAGACTTTTAACAAGGCTCTGTAATATAAATATAAATTAAACGTATAAGACGGGCAACAAGAGCCAAATCGCGGATGACAATGCGTTATCCTAACGGAACTAAATAATTTTTCGTTAGAATTAAATACCGGTGCACAAGGCACCAAATTTTTACTTGGACACGGCCAAGATTTTAAATATGAAATAATCTCATATTTTGAGATTTAATTTCAATACCCCTTTAACCCCCCTACGGAAAATAAATAAATGAATGCAAGAGAAAAATATAGATCCGAAATTCGTTGAATCGGGAATCGAACCCGAGAGCGAAAGGTCAAGAGACCTTTCGCTCTCGGGTTCGATTCCCGATTCAACGAATTTCGGATCTATATTTTTCTCTTGCATTCATTTATTTATTTTCCGTAGGGGGGTTAAAGGGGTATTGAAATTAAATCTCAAAATATGAGATTATTTCATATTTAAAATCTTGGCCGTGTCCAAGTAAAAATTTGGTGCCTTGTGCACCGGTATTTAATTCTAACGAAAAATTATTTAGTTCCGTTAGGATAACGCATTGTCATCCGCGATTTGGCTCTTGTTGCCCGTCTTATACGTTATAAATATATTTATGTTCAAAAATTATATTTGACCTTTAATTTTAATTTTGTATTTTATTAAAATTAATAATTAACATATATACTTAATTGCGAATTATATGGATGAACAAAATCTCTATTATGTGTGTAAGAGATTTCGGAACTCTTTGCTAAAATAATTAAAATTAAAAGTCAAATATAATTTTTGAACACTTTTATATTATTAAAAATATATAATTCGACTCTCGAAATATATTAATTCATTATAAAACGTATACGTATTAGTATTTTTCACATATTAAAATGATTAGAATAAATTAAATTAATTATTAAAAAACTAAAAATTAATTAAACGACTTAGACTTAGATGATAATAATAATGAAACATTTATTAAAAAATAATTATAATAGGTCAGGTTAATATTTTATTTATTTATTTATTTATAACATCATAAAATTCTGTCCTTTCCGAAATACGCGAACGCTACGAAAAGATAAATCTCGTACATGCCGCCGGACGAGTTCATGAGCATGAGACGCTCTTATCTTGGGAACGTATTAATAGTTACTGCATTGACTACTACTACGATATGGCGCTGAAATCAGTGAGAAATGCTGGTCTCTCCTTCATCCAGACAGTGTTGTTAGACGGGCTAGGTTTTTTCGCGCATGCGCGTATTACCGTGACGTAACCATGACGACTACAGTAACGTATGATGTTTGCGCGCGCAACTACGGACCAAAACCCTGGACCACGGAGTTTTGGCGGAATCGCAGGAAACAGATAAATTGAACGTACGTAAAAATAAATAAATTATTACAATATATGTAATATAAAAGTGTATTATTATAATTTATGTATATTAAAATTAATCAATAATTCAAATTATAAATTGTATAAATAAAAACTAAACTCGTAATTTACGTATGTTATAACATAGGTACACGTATATGTATATATTTTATAATTTCATTATTTGTTTATTGTATGTTTATATTTAACATTTTTAATTAAATTTATTATATTTATAATAAAAATTATACGATTCATTAATTATTTTAAAAAATTTTCAATAATTTAAGAAAAATTAAACAGAGGGGGAAATCAGGACCCCATTTCATGCGAGTGACTACTTCATTAATACTACATTCAATGCGCATGCGCGAAAAACCTAGCCCGTCTAACAACACTGCATCCAGACCTTTGGCGATCTGTCTATTAATCTGTGATCACGTGAAGTATTATTGTAACTATAATTTTTAATTACAACATTGCATTCATTTATTTATCTCATTAAAACAGGCAAACGTCCAGTTATAAATTTTACTTGATATGGTAAGAAATCACACAAATATTTATCAATTTTTAAACATATTTGTGTTATATATTATATGATTTAGGTTAAAATTACCGGTAATTTTATTTTTATGATTACTGATTTATATATATTATTTTTAAGGTAAATCTGTACATAAATTGTTTTCCTTTATGTTGGTGATTTTAATATTCACCATTTAATAAACATTACTGAAAATGGTACGAGCAAGTGAGAGCGTTATTTTAACCATAGGCGGAGTCTTGAATGATTCTGCCAGGCCTTTGAAAGAAAGATTCCGAGCGTTATTTACCCTGAAGAATATTGGTGGTGCAACGGCAATAAATCAGATCAGTAGATGCTTTAAGGACGAATCGGCGCTGTTAAAGCATGAGCTTGCATATTGCCTGGGTCAGATGAAGGATCCTAAAGCGATTAGCATTTTAACAAATGTATTGGAAGATCTGTCACAAGAACCTATGGTACGTCATGAAGCAGGTATGTGTGTATTTGGTATGTCACTTAATTAGTGGCCTGTTTTGGAATTGATAAAAAAATTAATGTGATTTATACAGGAGAGGCATTAGGTGCTATTGGTGAGCCAAGTGTAATTCCATTATTGGAAAAATATCGCAAAGATCCTGTACCAGAGGTAGCAGAAACCTGTGAGTTGGCCTTGGATCGATTGAAGTGGTTGGAATCTAATACTAATACAGAGAACTTACAAAATAATCCATACTCGACTGTCGATCCAGCACCTCCGGCTGATATAACAAATGTGGATAATTTACAAGAAATTTTATTAGATGAAAACAAGTCATTGTTTGATAGATACAGGGCAATGTTTTCATTGAGAAATTTAGGCACCAAGGAAAGCATCCTTGCTCTTACCAAAGGTAAGAAATTATATTGTTCCAATATAAGGAAAGGTAGTAAGCATGGAGTAATAATTAATCATTTGCCTTTATGTGATACAGGTTTGAAAGCTGGTAGTGCTTTGTTCAAACATGAGGTAGCGTTTGTTCTGGGACAACTTCAAGAAGAGGCATCTGTGCCAGGATTGCGAGCATCATTAGAAAATACAGAAGAAAACGAGATGGTCAGGCATGAATGCGCGGAAGCCTTGGGTTCCATTGCCACTCCTGAGTGCTACAAGATATTGAACAAATACCTCAATGACAGTAAAAGAGTCGTTCACGAAAGCTGCGTTATCGCTTTGGACATGTGTGATTACGAAAATAGTTCAGAGTTTCAATACGCGGATACACTGACCAAGCTTCCTACTGCGTGAAAATATCCGTTTTTACAATGTATATAAATACTGTATATTTATTACATTTCGAAAAAAAAGAAAACTAAGTTCTTTCTTTTACCATTGAGGAAAGATTTTTATTAATTATTACTGGCGAACCTTAAGGATTATTATCTGTTCTTTCTTTTCCATAGTCTATATATTTTTTCGTGCGTTCAATGCAACTTTCTATTTTATATTATGAATGCATATATTCTTCCTGCTTTCCTCAGTCTTAATTTTCTAGTAATTTGCGGCATTAATTTTTATAGTCCATTTTTATTCGATTCAGATTATGCGAAAAATCTTTAAAGACTCTAGCGAATCGATCGTAAAAGAAGTTTGTATTTTGTCACGTTAGACGATTTTTTTTTCTCCAAGAAAACGGTAAAATCAACAGATTGTATTGCAATGATGTATATGCGGGTGTACCGCTAATAGCATAAATGAGTCCGATAAGAGACTCCGCGCGATACGAACCGGGCCTTTCCGAGCGGAATCGATCAACCACGTCACGGTCCAATGTTTTTACATTCGCCGTAAACCTCATTTATTCGAATCATTTCTCTATAATCACGTTTGTAAATATATGTATATGTGTAGCGCGTTGGCTTATATACCTGTAGCGGAATTTCGATATTGTCGGTGCTCAATTTCATGAATATCGCGTGCCGCCTCGGGCATTCATTGACATATATAGTCGTAGCTTTTATTGCTGTAAATACACAGAAACCTTTACGACTTGTATACTCCGTCAAGATAAATATTTCTCGGTTCTCTTACGTTGTCGGGATGTCATTTAGATGGTGTTATGCAAGGGGGAACTTGTAGGCATAAAAAACGTCTCTCCCTGATAGGTCGTAGGGGAGAAGCTCGACTTAAACTGAATAATGAAACGATTAATCAGAGTCTAAAGCAAGATTGACGCGTTGTAAATATTGGACAAGTAAGCTATAGTTCGTCAAATCTTCAGTAACTTCGCGAATATATATACAGAATCACGTGCTTTGTTTTCATCATTAAACCAAAGAATTTTACCGTCTAAAAGAGACGCGCGCGATGGCGCCAGGTAGAACATAATGGCATAATGACGTCACTTAAGTCATTTTGGAAAACAAAATTTTGAGAATTATATAAAGCGATTATATATCTTATATTAGGGAGCTTTTAAATCTATAATTCCTTTTGTCAACTTTAAATAATTTTTTTATCATTTTTGTCAAGATAACTTTTAAGTGATGAATAAAATTATTATGACGTCATGAATGTTATATTCTACCTGGGGATATATATACACAACATTTAAACGTAATAAAATTTAATCAAATATATGACATCTTTTAACAAAATATTATCGATGTCGCGTCCGCACATTCATCTATCTGCGTTTTCATCATCGATCTTAACATAGCATTAAAATATAATCCATTAACACGCCATTAAGGTATAAAAATAATTAATCGATCGCGGCGCGAAAGCGCGCGCAAACTTTTCTCCCGCCACGAGACTTTATCTTTTCATACGAAAGAAGAAGATAGTTTGGGGTAATAATTTATTTTTGCAATATATCTTGCGTCCAGGCACTTGTATATGCGACGCTATCGCTCGCTGTAAAGTATAAGACGATTCTCGCCAAAGTGCGAGGCGGGGGATGGACGGGGGTGGTCGATATTAACTCCGCGAAGCACCTTACCTCGCGGAGAACCGCGGTGGCTGAAGTTAGTCACATGCCGGCCGCGGTCGAGTGTACTCGCTTATTTGTACTGGAGCGTCTCTCCGCTGCTTCATCTAAAGTAAGCGCTTCCTCTCTCTCTCATCTCAACTTTTTTTTCAATATTTTTCATTATACTTATTTCAAGTAAGCACTTGCTCTCTTTCTCATCCGTTCAAAATATTAATCACAATAATATCGTCAAAGGTTTGACGATAGCGAGAACGAAAGTTCGTAACATTTCGAGCAACATTTTCAGATATTTACAATCAATTTTCCGATTGCTATTTTACTTGAAATTTTTTTATTTCTCATTATACTTGTTTAATAAAGTAAGCGCTTCCTCTCATTCTCATTTATTTAATATATTAATCACAATAATATCGCCAAAGATTTGACGATAGCGAGAAGAAAAGTCACATTTCGAGCAACATTTTCAGATATTACAATAGATTTTTCAATTGCTGTTTTATCTGAAATATTTTTTAAAAATATTTCTCATACTTATCTATCAAATAAGCGCTCTTTCTCATATCTGTTCGAAATATTAATCACAATAATTCGCCAAAGATTTGACGATAGCGAGAAGAGGAAAGTAACATTTTGAGTAACATTTTCAGATATTTACACTCAATTTTTCGATTGCTATTTATATATCTGAAATATTTTTTAAATAATTCTCGTTACCTAGCTTTAGTTTTCAAGTGGTCTTGTATGAAATTCATATTAAAGTGCACTGGTTCCTATAAATTTTTATAAAAGAGATGTAAAAAAATAATTTTCCTTAAACTAAATTAAGTTACAATTTTTTTCATCGTCGAATTGAAAAGTCACATGAAAATTCCATAACTTTTTAATGCATATTAAAATTGTATATTTCTTATTAATATTAATATTCTTCGATTTGATGTGCTAACTAATTTAGTTTTATGTATTTTTTCTGTCTTTCTATTCTCTTTTTTCCTTATATAAAAAAATTTTGAATTTTTAAAACATACAGATTTACAATATTGTCCACACACACACACACACACACACACACACACACACACACACACATGAGTATTATATTATATATAACATAAAAATATGTTTTGTTTCTGTAACGCTAAATATTTTGCGAAAACTATACATATGATATAAAAGATAAAATTTAAATAAATGATTTTTGTTAAATCGAGTTTAAATCTTTAAAAATCAAAGAATATCTCCAAAGTCTTTAGACCTTTTTCCCTGTTTTTCCAAAATTTTAATTCTTTAATTTAAAATTTTAAATAGTTAGGATTAAAAAGGATAGAAAGATAATAATTAATTATACAGTCGAGTTTATTATCTTGCAAATTTTTGTTGATTCTTACAAATTTATTAAAATAGTAGATTATCAGTTTCATCTCTCGATTAATATTAGTAAAATACACATTTATTTGACTAAAATTTATGATTATTATAATCATTATCAAGCGTGATTTCGTTGGTCTCCCACAATTTTGAGCCAGCGCATGTATAATATATTTTAAAAATACGCACGTTCTTTCTTCGAATTATGCAATCGCTTTTCGTGTGTACTACTTTTTTTACTTGAGAGTTTCGTGTCGTGAGAGATTTAATGATAAACTTCGCGGTTTTCCTCTTGCGAGACTTTTAACGTTAAAAAAAAAAAATACCAATATAACGTGCCGAGCGCGATGTCGTCCCGATATATATATATATTTTATTCAATCTTAAAATTATTCGAACATTTATTATCTCTCGACAATAGAGGAGAGACGGAAATCTCATCTCATAAATCGCGGATATGAATATACAGCGAGCTCATGACACGAAACGATGAATGACATCTCGTGCGGCTGACGTGTTTTGATCAGTCTTCCTTATTTATGATCTATTCGTCCGTGAAATATGCATATCTTGCTTCGAAAGTAATCGCTCCCGACCTGTTTGACTGTCTTTTGTAACGTCAATCGCGCCTCTCTCGATATGCCGGAAGCAAAACAAACGTCAATCATTCGCCAATTCTTGATTCCGGGCAGAGTCGTCGCAAATAAGGAATCGCGGAATAAGCTTCGACGGATGTTTAGGAGGAAGTAGACTTGACATCTCGCGTTCGAATATTAATATCAAATGTTAGAATATTTAAATTAAATTTTAATGCGCGATTTGCGCGGGCAAGTTGCATGTTTTCCCTTTCCGGTTTCCCGCTCTTTTGACGTCACAATCTCGTACACCTGCAAACACGACAGAGCGTTTAGTTTCATTCTTATATTTTGTAAACATTAACAAGATTGTTTATATTTGACAATTTTATATTTTGTGCAAAGTGTGTAAATTATAAATTTAAAATTATAAATTATAAATTAAAAATTAAAAATTTATTACGTAGAAAATAAAACTGCATATTTGCCGCAATTTGGAACAACACGATGGAATATATGAGAACTTCGGCATTACGTGTCGATCGTTAAATTGGCATACCCTTATGTCAGCATATCCGGTCTTTACAATCCTAGTTAATTAACTTTGTAGAAAGAATCGATCTATTCCTTCCTTCCTTGCATAAACCGTTATCATCATTATTGATATTCAGTTTTAAAGCTCGGGCTTTTTTTGCGATATGTTAATATAAACCACGAGTGAAAAAATATATGCAAATATTAATTTGAAGTTCAAAGGTAAAGGTTTTTACGATAGAAAATACGAGTGAATATATATATCGATATCATAGAGCGATTTTATACGACTTTATATGCACAGAGGGAAAGGTAAGAGGAGATATTTGCCTCCTTCCCTGGAATCAGCAAAAAATTGAATATTTCTCCTTAAAAAAGACATTTTTAAAATTTCAAATTCTATAAGTATTATAATTCTGTGAATAACTGAAAGTATTTTGAATCATCTCAAATATATCATTTTGACATCGAATGACGTCATTAGATGTCAAAATGACGTTATTTAACGTCTAATGGCGTCAGTTTGCTACTTGAAATGTCCCCTCCTGAAAAAATCGTGCTCTTGTTCATATGCAATTTCTAGCACAGTGACTTGCATGTGCGATTTATGTGTGTATATGTACACCGGAAGCATCGATGAGCGATCAGGCGTCGTCGGATTCGCGATCGCGGGAGATGATGAGGGATAATCGGTGGTTCCTGAAGGACGAGACGTAGGGGGATATGTCCGGCTGCTTGTCGTCATCTATGACAGGCTCGACAGATGCGGGGCCGCTGCAGCCCCAGGAAGATCCCGTGCCGCCATCGACTTACGACCTTAGACCCTTGTCCGAGGGCGATGGCTCGTCGGCGAGGCGAGGCTGTCGTCATCGTCATCAGTTACGACGTCGGATGACGTCCGCTCCGCCGTCCGGACAAACGATACAGCTGACTCCACTCTGGGAACACGTAGTACGCGTCGAGATCAAATATATTAAATTAATCATATTTTATTATATAATAATATTTTTTATATAATTATACATAATTATTTATAATTATATATAATATGTGTTATATAATTATATATAATTTATATATAATTACATTTATTATATTATTATATATTTTATTATATTAATTATATTTTATTTCATGTTTTATGCTTGTATTTTTAATTCTTAAAATTGAAGCACTTTGGTTTTTATTGGAGATATAATTGAAATTTGCAATTCGCGGTTTTTCCGGCCAGGTGCGAACGCGTAGGTTTCCATCCGAGATCGACACTCAGGCCACCTTCATTGAGATCTCCGAGAGACTTCGAGACCCGGAATGGGAGGTGCGCCAGCACGCTCTGCGAGTGCTAATGGACGTTCTACCGACGCTGAATGCCGATGTCGTTGACAAGGTCATGCAACCGGTGGTGCCGGAGCTGATCAATAATTTGGGGCATCCAGCGCCGGCGGTACGCAAGGGCGCCTTGGACGCGCTGCGGGTCTACCTCATTCACACCCCAACAAAGACAGCGTGGTCAAAAACGTAAATAGCCGCAATGCGCTGAAAAAGAAGCTTTTTTTCTATTTTCTCTAATATTCAATATGAAATTAAAATCAAATTAAAGATTAAGTTAAGTTAAACAATAATTGGATAGCTAACAATAATAATTGTGAATAAAAATTAAATGCAAAATTCGTTTCGTTACAGATCCTTCACGACGGCTTGAATCGACCGGACGCTCACAATCCATTTCAGACGAACGTGACAACGGGGGTGATTCTGAGTGCTCCGCTGCTGCTTTTTCCATCCTCCGACAGTCCTCCACCGACCACGCAGATCCTGAAAGACGCCACGATCGCCTTTGCCGCACGACTGGTCCAGGTACCGCACCAGGAGGCCGTTCTCAAATCCCTCATGAAGATTCGCGATGAGGTCGGCGACGAAGAATTCGAGAGCTACCTGGCGGATTACGACGACAAGCTGAAAAAGAACATCGACGTTCTCTCCAAGATTTACAACATCAAGCCAACGACCAAGAAGAAGCGAGAGAGAAATCGCGCGCGGGATATCGTCAAACCCGACACGAAGGAACGTACCTTGGACAAGAGCTGGGACAGCGACAGCGACACTTCCGGTATTGCTGAAGAAGAGGATGAAGGCGCGATACCACCAGCGAGAGTTGTTCTGGAGACCGAGATCAAGTTCAACGAAGAGACGGCCATCACGATGACGATCCTGGAGGAAAAGGAGGAGGATGAGAGCGGGAATTCGGCCTCCTCGGATAAACGGAAGACGCCGAGACGCGTCCGCTTCGGCGGCGAGATCGTCAAGTTGAGGACACCCGACAGCGACGAGACGGAATCGATCGAGATAACACCTAAGACGAGGATCCCGCTTCCTGTATCGCCAGCTACCAAGATGCCGGAAACGACGAATCGGAGACGACCATCGTCGCAGCCCTGTAGTCCCTACGCGGGAGAGAAACGAAGATCGAAGAGGGTTTCCAGGTCGGCATCCAGCAGCCCCAAGAGAGAATACACTCACAACGCGCAACTGAGTCCTAAGAAGAGTATCCTCACACGAACGGACGGTCCTCTCATCGTTATCGATTCTACGGAAGAAGCTAAGAGAAGTAAAAAGATAGGAAAAGCGGCGAAGCAGTTTTGGAGGATAAAGCTTTTTCCAAGGTGAATGATAGTTCGAAAGAAGTTAACGAGACGTCGAGGAAGGAAGACGCTGCTTTAGCTCAAACAACTTTGTATTCAGCGAATAAAGAGGATAAACTGATCAAGGATAATGAAAATAACGTGTCCAAGGCAGCTCAAGTTGCAACCCCGAAGAATGCATCATTAAGGGGAGAACAAACGATCCTTGAAGGAAATCACGTGATCGATGAAAGCGTTTCCGAAACCGCCTCGCGACGAGAGAAGACTTCATCGCCGACAAAGCTGTTGAATCCAAGTCGTTCGAAGACGACTGAAGAAAATAAGGACGACGAAATGGAGAGAGGACGCTCGAATGAAGACGTTCGGAAGGCATCGATCGAGCAGAGCAATTTTACCCGCGATTTTTCCAACAATCTGCCATTCGGGTCGCCGATTAACGGCGAATGCGAGGCGCGAATAGATCGCCTGGTTGGCGGCGATTTCGTCGACGACGAACGGGAGGACGTGCGCATTTTCGACGACGGCGAAGGACGAAGGGGACGAAGCGGTCAATGCTCCGGCGACCGGAAGAGCGCGTCGGAGGGGAACGGAAGTGTCACTTGCAGCAGCAGCGAGGGCGAGGGAAAACCGCGAGAACCTAGCTGGGAGGAATTAGGGTTGGTCGGTCAAGAGGTGCTGGACGATCTGCACAATAAGGTGAGTGGATTCAGAAAGCAAAATCATTTCCGAATAATCTCGAAGTTAATATAAGTACACCAAATATTTTATATTAAGGTATTATGTAAATTTATTGTATATATATATATATATATATATATATATATATAATTAATTTTTTTATAAAAGTTTTTATAAAAGTTTGCAACAGTTAGACCTTTTACGGTTTCATATTGAGATGTCTTTCATAGTTCTTTCTTAAGATATTTCTAAAAAATAATTAGCAAATTATATACATTTTTAAATTTCTATAAAAAATTTCTCAAATAATATAAATTAAGTCAAGTTAAATTGACGATATTAAAGCGAGGACGAGAATAATTGATTTATTCGTGCATGAAATTCGGAGAGAATTTCCTCTTAGAGTTTACGTAATAAAAAATATTAATATGTGCATAGTAAATATTACTATATACATGTTAAAATTAATCGAACATATTATATATCTTACTGTGGTAAATATTAATATTTTTATTATAGTAAATATTAATCAGAGAAACTCTTATAAATATTGTCCCATAATTTTCAGGGCAAATTCTAAAAGAAAATTCTCTCTGTGTAAATTAATTTTCGAATTATGATAGCACTAATATAAAGTGCAAATATATAACTAAATATATCATATCCGTATTTATTAATGTATCTCAAAGACATTGATGTCTTTTTTACGCGAAAATTTGGTATCATTTCCGCCAGGGCAGGGTAACGCTCGGCTTCTGGGACTCGCGGCGAGGATTAACATGCTCATTCGGGGGACCCTTGACTTTAGGACAGGTCGCCGGTCCGATACATTAGTACACGGGTGAGAAGTAGGTCGATCGATTCTCGTCGACAAAAGTTTCGTCGCGTGACGTAACGTGATTTAAGCTCCATCAATTATCGGGGTTACGTGTGCGCGCGTACACAGACCCTTAACGTATCTTTTTCTTCCTCTTTTTTTAATCTCATATACACGAAGAACTGTTTTCATATCAAGCATCATATCGCGGCACTTTATGTGTCGTTATTAGAAAATTACGTCATACAGATAGATCGCTAGACGCTATAGTGCAGAGCTTCGCGCGGAGATGTGTGACCTCGATTTACATTCGATCGGACTTTGAATTAATCCGTGGACGTGGCGTACTCGTAATAAATATCGGGCGAGTAATCGAAAAGCTCGAAGTCCAGTCTTAGCTTCTCGTAAAGCTTTCGCACAGTCGCTCCGTTTAATGACGGAAGTATATCCTGGAAGCGTTGACGTGACCATTACTATGCCTCCATCTAGGCTTAATCTTGTCCTGCAATCCCAACTTATTGATCGCGTACACTTGATCTCGCCACAGCGATTCCACCTACAAAATTATGATACATTTACAGAAAATTTAATTTGGAGCAAGAATTTTTTATTAAAAAAAAATTATTAAAAAAATTCGAAGAAATGTTTAATGTTAATATTACAGACGATGAATACGTGGTTTCGCGGATTCACTCACATTCGCGATAATGTCATACTTGACGAGGCAGGGAGTGCAATAAAGATAATACGGCATCCAGTGATCATCGCCATAACTTCCTAGATCAGTATCGATCATGTAATCGACAAACTCTCGAAAGGTCGGTTCCACACCTGCTGGAGGTGGAACATTATCACGTCGGATCACTTGATCTGGTCGTGGTTCCGTGAAATTTTCCTCTGAAGATTAAGAAAAAAAATTCATCATCACTCTCTATCTTCCATATAAAATTCACATTAATCGCACATTTTTCGTTATTTAAAATGATGAAAAAAAATGTTAGAATATTATATTTAAATCGTTGAATGTAAAGATTTATTTATAACAGTTTTTGCTTGCATGAAGAAGGGATTCGAGCTATCGCGATCACACACTTTTTCCCTCTCTTCTTCTCCCTTTTACTTTCTCGTGACTTACTGCGATACTTCCGCACGATCTTGGCTCCGTGCTTGCGATAAAAGTGCAATGTTCCGTGCTCCCGGCCGGCGACGGAGTTCTCGAGTTTGTCGCGATAGGCGCTCAACAGCCTCTCGAAGGGATGTCGGACGACCAGGAGTCTTCTGGTCGCATTTAGGACCCGTTCAGCCTCGGGGTACTCGAGTTCCGGCATCGCCCTTCTAGCGACAGTCGACAATTGTTCCTTGCCGTATCCAACGTCTCCGAAGGCACGTTCATCAATAGGCAGAGATTGTAGAGCCAGGTCGTGGTGCCGGCTTTGTACACCGGGCAGTAGGATATGTTGTGTACCCTGTTGCAGCAAATTGCATAATCCATGGTCTATCGATTTAATCGATTCTTTATTAATGTCAAAGTATTTTTTTTTTTATAATGAACCTGTCCATGTAGAAGACGGGTGTACTGTGGCGCAGGCGGATGTTTGAACGACGAATCCTCGGCGAGCTTTCGATAGAGCCCAAATGGTACTTCTTGCATACTCTTTCGACGTTCAACAATCGTCGTGTGTTGTCCATCTCAGCTTTGATCTAAGATGATTGATGTAAAATCGCGAGATTTAAAAGCATGGCAGATATAAAAAGAGTCTTTTTATCGAAAAAATATAACGTAAATTGTACATATATCATTTTGGCTTTATTTTAGTACTTTAAGATGTAGTCACTTTCATTCAGAATGTTTAAAAATAAAAAATTATATATAATATATAATATATAATATATAATAATTATATATAAATTATATATAATAATTAAATTATAAATAAAATATATATAATATAATTAAATATAAATAATTTACGTTATTCCTCTTAGGCAGAGATCGGTTTGTTTACCTATCATTTGTTCTCATCGTCAATATCGTTAATAGAATGCAACGTGGTGACTCACCAACAGCTTTCTCAACTTCATCGGCGGCGGGAAGAGGTTTATCTTCATCTCCGATAGTGATAATAACCAATTTTAACGTCGACAAGATAACGCCGAGGCAGACGACAATTTGAAAATAATCGGAAAAATGCACGTTCTGTTGCCTCGACATAATCGAGACGCGATTTATTCATAAATATATAATCACTTCGCGTTTATACTTTATACTCGTAGAAATGTTACTGAAGCAGAACGATCGAATTCTTCCTAGAGTTCTCTCGCAAGCAAAAACACATTCTCTGCACTCCTCTACCAATTCTATACACAGACTAACTGACCGGTTTTGTTTCACCAATTGCGATGGTGATGGATCTAGAGTATCATCGGCCCCGAGTTGATCACTGATCATCATAATTATTATAAAATATTACTTAGAGCGTCTCAAAATGATCAAATGTCTTTTTCGAGCAGAGTTAATTTCGAGATGATTTTTCAAATGAAGATGATTTAGCAAAGTAGAAAAATGAATAAATTTTTTCGGTATCGATGAACGAAGGTCCACTCCTGAGGTTTGAGTGGGGGAACTTCACGGCCAAAGACGTTCCGCATAATTAATTCCGTTAGTTCAGCTGTTGAAACTCGTGTGACACCTTCTTTAAAGAGAAAGAAATCATTCGGAAAATTCGAATGTAAAATCGATACGTCAAAACTCGAAAGAGTGATTTCAACTCGCTGACAGATCAATCTCCATTAAATTCCTCTATCGTGCCCGCGAATCTATCTAGATGTATGTACATACAGCTATCCCGAACGACGATCGCGATTGTCACAGGTGCGCCTGGTGTTCATTCAGCGACCGACGTCAAGGTCACTGCACTAGACCTTTTTATGAATGCACGCGCGGCCTCGGCCTCGTCTGCGCGAGAGAGGTCTATGAAAATAAATACCTCTAAATCCTCCCTCCCGCGCAATCGATTTCCACGGGTGTCGTTTGTGTATCCGGAAAAAAAAACGAAATATGTTTCCCGCAAATTTGGACTTTTCGCGACACATCCTATAGCGCTGCATAATTGATGCGATGTCACCTGCAGGTTCCTACTTCCTACTCGCGTATTACTTTAAAGTCGGTTCTCTATACCGGATATAAAGTTTCATAAAATTTTGTTCGCTATTTGTCGTTGAATGGATATAATCTTCCAATTTTCCGCGAATCGATGAGTATCTCATTTGAATACCACCTAATCATTTTTCATACACGCTCTGAAAAATTGTTAACTGGATTAGCTTTTCAACTAAATTATTATTTTGTTGTAATTAAATATATATTAGTATTTAAGTCAAATACATGCACGTTTTGTTAGATTTAATATGTTATATTTAATTTAAATATTTATATGTTCAATTAAAAAAATATTATTTAGTTGAAAGATTTAATCACCTAAACATTTTTCTTTTCAATGCGTGTCAAAGTAAAATTATTTGAAAATAAAATCTTCTAATGATCATTTATAGTACATTGTATATAGTTTTTCTCCCATTAAATCACAAATGAATAAAAACCCATAATTCGTTAATAATTCCGAAACTGATTCATGAAAAAGAAAATAAATGCAAAATGAATAACGCATTTCGTCGAAATTATTACGTCGCTTTTTTACAGCAGAGTAAAGTCGAGTTTATGCCAAAGCAAAGTATGAATATTCTACGATGGGAGGGGAAAGAGTGAAAGAGGGTGAGAAAAAACGACGGGAGAGATTTCCTCGCATTACATGAAGAAATAATATAGACAGAGAGAGGGGAGAAAGGTGCAAAAATAATTAGCCACGTATTGCGTGCCAC